TCAACGAGAAGGTCAAGGAGAAGACGCTCGACTGCGCAGGGAGCGGGTGCGCCTCATCCAGGACAAGGTGGGGAGCGGATAAGGTGTGGATGGGTGGTGGGTGGGTGGTGGTGGATGTGTGTGGATATGTGGATGTGTGGATGGGTGGGATGGGTGGGTGGGTGGATATGTGGGTGTGTGGATATGTGTGGATATGCGATTTGTGGATGGGTAGATATGTGTGGATATGTGGATGGGTAGATTGGTGGATGTGTGGATATGTGGATTCGTGGATGGGTGGATATGTGGGTGTGTATATATATATATATATATAATATATATATATATATATATTATATGTATGTATGTATATATATACATACATATATATGTATATTCATATATATATATATATATATATATAAAGATACATAGACGGATAGATAGATATAAGGATAGATAAATATACATATAGATAGATATGCATATATGGACACATATAAAGATATGGAAAAACAGATGCATAAATGGCAAATGTTTTCGTTAGGTCTAATTGTTTTTAAACTCAGATATATTATATGAGATATAGATTATAGATAGATAGATATAGATATAGTAACAGATATAGTAATAGATATAGATAGATATCTATAGACAGATAAAGACATGCCTACTCACACATAAACTTCACAGGTGTAGTGAATTATCAGTTGCATGTATATATCTAATTATAAATCCATCAGTCCTTATCCCTGATGTATGCAAGTTGCAAATGTAGTTTCATTTGCAATCACTATTTTTTTTCTTCTGTTTTTTCTTCTTTTTTTTTTTTTTGTTAATAATGAGTTGTTATTATGATTCGAGCGAGAAATGGCGAGTGGATATTGGATTCAGAATTCTTTAAGTTGTATTAGTCAGCCTGGCGTCGGTTTAATTTCTGTCAGGTAAAACATATTCATATATTCAGTAAGTTTTTAGAAAATATATCTCATTAATAAAGTAGAGACGACAGTGAAACACACTCACACATACACATACAAATACTCACACACACAAACAAGCAGACGAACAACACACAAACCATGTATAAATCTCTCTTCTCTTCTCTCCTCTCTCTCTCTCTCTCTCTCTCTCTCTCTCTCTCTCTCTCTCTCTCTCTCTCTCTCTTCTCTCTCTCTCTCTCTCTCCTCTCTCTCTCTCTCTCTCTCTCCTCCTCTCTCTCTCTCTCTCTCTCTCTCTCTCTCTCTCTCTCTCTCTCTCTCTCTCTCTCTCTCTCTCCTCCCTTTCCTCCCTCCCTCTACTCCCTCCTTCCTTCCCTCCCGCCTCCACACCTCCCTACCTACACCCAAACCCCACCCCCTACCCCCATAAAAAGACCCAGAACCCCTTATAACAAAAGACAATATAAAGACTCACACCCAGGAAATAATCCACTTTAAACTACCGCGGGGCACCTCGACACAAAACACTGCCAGTCTCGAAGGAAACTTAATATGCATGGGACGTTCTCCGAGTCCTTGCTCTTGTTAAGTCTCCTCGCTTCTGGGTGTTGTCTTATCGTATCGAGAGAGTGGCACCCGGTCGTATACCGTGCCTCTGGAGCGTGGCACCCGGTCGTATACAGTGCTCTGTGTCATCGTAGAGAAGGCGGGGGTGGGTGGGGGGGGGCGACGGGGAGTGGCGTGAAAACCTTTCGTTGGTGATTTGCTCTCTTGTATACATGAGTAAGAGGGCTGTCTGAATGCCATTTGATTTCTGTGTTTTTTTCTGTAGCTGTCTTTGTTTCTTTGTTTCTGTCTTTGTCTAGCTGGCTGGCGTTCTATCTGTATTTGTCTTCTTTTTCTCTTTTTTTTTTTCTTTTTGTATCTGTCTATCTCTCTCTGTCTGTCTATCTGTCTATCTCTCTCTCTGCCTGTCTCTGTCTCTCTCTTTCTCTCTCTCTCTCTCTCTCTCTCTCTCTCTCTCTCTCTCTCTCTCTCTCTCTCTCTCTCTCTCTCTCTCTCTCTCTCTCTCTCTCTCTCTCTCTCTCTCTTCTCTCTCTCTCTCTCTCTCTCTCTCTCTCTCTCTCTCTCTCTCTGTCTGTCAGTCTGCTAGTGAAACAGCGAGTCATGACGGCTATAGACATACCCGGCGTGAACCCAAGATATCTCAACCAATCAGCATTGAAGTTATGGTCAATGTTTTTTGTCGAATAATTGTAAAGTAGAGATAGATAAACAGGATAACACTAAATTCAGTAGTTATATAGTAGAACATTTATTCTAATTGAATCTAACAAAACAATTTAATCCATTTGATGACATTCATTGAACTGAATGTTTTATTGCGCAGTTTGGTCGCAGTAAAAAGAATTGGTGTGTTTATCTTCAGTGTAAAATAGGTTGTTTTGTTTTACGTGTATATTTGGTGCAACATGTACGTAAATGTTGCAAGGGAATGCATTTCATTGATTTACTTGAATAGATATTGCAGAAGGATGAATAGACGGATAGGTAGATAGATAGATAGGACAGGTGAACAG